TTTCCAAAGGGTGAGTATTGGTAGGTGCTCCCACAAGTCAGACTGATGTTTCTATTGTCTTTTATCTTGCTTCCATTCAAATAGTTGCATCAAGAAATAACCCTTGCATAGCATGATGGTTTTCCTTTCCCCCCTCCCCCTGTAGAAGTTAGTCTGTTCAAGCCAAGCTGTGAGCTGGAGTGAAATAATACCAAGAGATTTACTGTTTGGAAGGTTTCTTCCCTGTCTTGAGAGTGGTGGGTTCTGTTTCCAGAGCCCAGCCAGCTCGGGAACCCCTGCCTTAGCTAGAGGTTTTCCAGGTGCCATTGACCTAGGAGCTGGTTTCTGTACAGCAAAACTGTGTTCATACGGCCTGTGTCCATGACTCCAGTGCCACTGTCAGAAGAGTGATGACTAGAGAGAGTAGGCCGAAAGGGCAGTGGCTCTGTGAGATCCTGCTGGTAAACCAGGAGGATGCGGTGTGCTGTGGTTCTGCTGCCGCCAGTGGAGGAAGCAGCGTTAAGGAAAAAAAGAAAGAGCAGAAAAGCTTAGCTTTCAGTTGGTGTCGTGTTTATCTTCCACAGTCAGACCCTCGGCTGTGTTTTATGCTTCTCTTGTGCCAGGACAATTGCTAAGTCTTAGTCCCGTTTAGGGGCCTGTGTGTGGTAATTATCTTTGCTTGGCAGCTGCTACACGTGCTGTTTGAGAGGTAGTGGAGAGCAGCACATGGTAGATACTCTCCTGAAGTACCTCTCAGAAGGTAATGAAACCCCTTTTGAGGACTTGAGCCCATACAGCTCCTCTCCTGTGGGCAGTGGGAGCCTTGTCAGCCATGCAGCGCTCAGCATGCAGGCATGGCAGCGGAGCTGTGTCCATCTCCCAGATGTTCCTCCTGCATCCCCCAGGCTCCCTAGAAAAGAGGGTTTATGTGAGGTGGAGGCCGTTCTTTGCTGGTTTGACCCCAGTGTCTGCTCCAACGCTGGTCCCACACAGGTTGGTGAGAACGCTGCACTGCCAGGACAGTTTTGCAGTGCTGTGTAATTAAACTTCGGCTTTTCCCATCCGAAATGTCTTTCTAAACTTGGTGGTGGGCTAGGCACTGGTGTAGAGTGCAGAGGAGGATTTCTCTTAGGAAGTTTCCTCTCACGGATGTTTTAAGCTGTGGTAGGAGGGTGACTAACTGTGGGTACACCCAGACATTTCCCTTTGGACACACCTAAACACACACTTTCCAAGAAGAGGATCATGCCACCTTCCATTATGGGTGGAGAGAAAATTTAAAGGGAGACAGGACTGCTCAGTCTCTGTCTGTAACGCCATCCCCCTTATTGTCCCAGTGAGGAATTTTAACACAGCACTGTCCTGGGGTGATTTATGTTGTACTGCTAAATGAAGTTACTTCATTTCTTTGTCCTCTGTCAGCAGATGTGCGTTATTTGTAGACAGTAGAGGCTGTTGCCTATTTTTACACTCAATTAAATTGTAACTTCATCGCTGGGGCCCCTGCTGCAAGAACTACAAGTCGGGCAGTTATCCAGACTGATTAATTGTCAGCTTAACATCTTTGGCAGAGGCCTTTTGGTGCTGTTGTGGAGCGTGCTGCACTTTGTGATGAGAGGGAAAAGTTAGGGGGTTGCCTCTGTGCTGTTCCCATCGTTGACGTTTTTTAGTGACAGGATTAGCCTTGTCTGCACTGACTGACACATGTGAGTAAAAGGTCCGGAGTGAATTATCTGTAGTGCTTCTTGGACATTAGCCTCTGCAGAAGTACAACAAACTGTAATATTATTCTTGTTACTGACGTGGAAATGAGCGGGTTGGGCATTTTTTCTTTTTAGAGAGGCTGGTAGCCTGCAAAATTTGGCTTCCAGTATTCTTTTTCCTTGTTTTGTTAATGAACAAATCATAAACACTGTGGAAGGATAGGAATGGAAAAGAAATAGTTTCTGAACCAGCTTGAGAGAAGTCCTTCAGTCCATTTGAGAAACAAGAAGTCTCTTTGGACAGTTGTATCCACAGTAAGCTACTGGCTGAAGGCTTTTTTTTCAAACAAGAGCTTGTTTCTGGGGCCCTTTGTGAAATAAATGTTTAGTTTTGTTGGCAAAATTCCTACAATTCTCCATCTGTAAGTAGGTCTCGATATGCTGAAGTTGCAGATGTGGAAGTTGTCATCCCTGCTACAGGCATCTGCAATTTCAAAATACACTTGCTAGATGCTCCTTTGCTGCAGTGGGTGTTGTGCAGCTGGGTGGAGAGTGCTTCCTAGTAAGGCTTGAATGTTCAGTGGGTGCTGTTGCCAGTGAATGGTTGGGGGAGCCACCTACTTCTCTCCCAGAAACCTTTCAGGCGTCGCCCTCTTATCTCTGCACCCTGTGTTGGTGGGATAAAACCGCCAACCACCAAGGTCACTTTGTTGCTGGGGAAGTTGAGCAGAGCATCTCCCTTGCCAGTACAGGTCCTTATTTAACCCTAGTCACTGAACACTCTGGCTGCCAAAAATCAATTACTTGCTTGATGATGTTTGTTTACAGAGTCTTTAAACAATGTACAGTGGAAAAACAACCAAACTGTACAGTGTACTTTAGCTGTTGGCTAATAACCTATTGCAAATATCTTTTGGACTTTGTGTAAGCTAAACTTCCTCTTCATTTTCTGTATAGGTAATAATATATTAAGCTTCACCAGACATTGCTACATTAATCTGTAGAGTTACTGAGCTGCAATGATCATAGCATGCTTAGACAAGGAATGGCTATAAAAAATACAGCTGTGGCAGTGATGAACTCTGTGTGGGCTACAGAAACTACTTCAGGCACTTCCTCTGTGCCCAGCCATTGCCCACAGTGAGCTCGGTGGCCTGCAGGCCCACAGTTGTTGCCTGAGCAGCTGCACCTCACCTCTGGTTGTGTTGTCTTGTACATCCATGGCTGGAGTTCCCAGAAACCTTGAATTTCCACTGGTCCTGCTAAGGACAGCAGGAGCTGGTGGGCTTTGAGCGCCTCTGAAAGATTTTCCCCATCACTTTGTAATGTGCAAAACTTGTGGCAGTGCCTTGGGTTTTCTGCTTGCACTGCTTCCCTGGGCAAGTGCTTTTAACCACAGACTGATTTCTCACTTCATCTGAAGCGTGTGTGAAAGTGGATGACTTAACGTGTGCTGCTTTTAAATGCAGAGGTTGGAAACAAAGCTTGTTTAAAGCAGTGTTTGTCCTCCAGGGAGATGCAACAAGCACCTTCTTGAACTATCCCAGAAAACTGCTTTTTTTGGACAAACAAGGGAACTTTCAAGGAGCTCGGTGGGCTTTGGCAGAGAGAACAGCTGTAAGCGCCAGGGAAGGCTGGACCTGGCCTGGTGAATTCTTGAACCAGGGGAGCTGTGTGAGCTCCTGGAGGCTGCTGGGCTACCCAGTGGCCTGCATGCCGCTGTAGCAGGAATCTCAAATTGACCTGGCCTGGTGAATTCTTGAACCAGGGGAGCTGTGTGAGCTCCTGGAGGCTGCTGGGCTACGCAGCGCTGTGAGCCCCTCTAAGGGAAGGTGGCCTGCGTGTCGCTGTAGCACGAGTCTCAAATTGCAGGTAGTCCAGGTTACTCCCTGCTCCCCAACCCTTCCTCCGACCAGTCTTCCAGCAAGCATCTGGAAACGCAGATTTCACGTTGTGAGGCTAAAAGGGGACTGCAGGAGAAATGGTGGGAGGTGTGGAGGACTCGAGGCATTGACAAAGGCAGTCAGCTTGGTGGGAGGTAGAGTCCTGTGGGCAGAGCAAGATGAAAGGGGCTGAGAGCTGACACTGGGGACTGCTTCAAAACTAAAAGGCTGGTGAGGTGGATGTTGGGGCTTTTTGAAATTATAGTCAGGTTCTGAAGAGGAATCAGATGGGCAGGAGCCTAAACAGCCTGTAACTAAAGGCATGCTGCCCTAGAGCTGTGGAGACAGAGTGAAGGCTCTTGCTCTGTTGCTTTCAGAGCTTCTCCACTTGTCCGGGTGACTGCTGCCTGTGCTTATCCAGGACTCGGCCTTGAGCTTGGAGTGACTTCTGTCATACAGGCTTTTATGCAGTAGGTCTGCTTCTGTCTGGCTTGTGTTGTAGCCAGAGAATTTGGAGTCATTCACCCTTCTGGGTCTACCCAAGGTTGAAACATCTGACTTTCCTCTCTACTAGTGGTTTGGTGGCTCTGCTCAATGAGTGCCAAGCAGCCACTTGTGTCAGCGTGTTGTACAGCCACCAAAGTTCCTAATGTGGCTCCGTGCTCCTCTGTGTTTGTGGGACACTTCTCCACAGTATCTTGTGCTTGTGGAGTATATATACTGCCTTGTACAGGCTTCCTAAGGCCGGGGAGCCAATGGAGAAGGTCAGCAAAGGCTGAAGAAGCATCACAGTGCAACATCTGGTAGCAAATTTAGGAAGACTAGCATTTAGCCTGGAGTGTGCTGGTGTTGACCCCATGATGATCCAGAAAGCTTTAGCTACCCGATAATAGCACTCTGTCAGTGTGTGTATAGAAATTCGTTGGCTGATGATGCATTTTTGACTGGAGATCCTTCCTTTTTGCCCTTAAATCAAAAGTGGATCTGGTAAGCACTTCTCAGCCTTGGGGTTGAATTGCAGGTCCCAAAGTTGTGTTGCTCTTATCTCTCTGTTCAGACCAGTGCTGTTCTTGCAGGCATAGCTGCTATAAAGGGCCAAGTTAAATGTGGAAATGATTAAGCCTCTGAGATAGTGGTGTGCCAGCATCTGTGTTACATGCCACTGTTAATCCCAAGAGCACGGAAGGAACATGAAGACTCAAGCCTTGCTTGGTTAAGCAGATGCACACCTAGAAAGGAATAACATGCTTAAATACTTGGCACTTTCAAAGCAGGCAATCTTCCTGGAATTAACCTGTAATGAGGTTTTTACTTTCTCTTCAGTCTGAAGCATAACAGAGCACAGTTTACCTGTTTAAATTGAAATGCAGCAGTTGTAAAGCATGTGAAATATTTTAATGCATCAATCTTATATTTCCATTTTCTCTCTCCCCAGGAACTGGCAAACTCAGTCTACTTGGTTATGGAGGTGAGTGTGGTTGGTTTGATTGGTGTGGTTTTTTTTTTTTTTTAAACTTGGTTTAGAGAGACCAGCTTGTCACACAAGAAGTGCTTTCTCCTCGCAGTCTCACCTGTGATGCTTTTGCTAACCTAATCTGCAGCTGCAAGCCTTTGAGAACTGGAGCAGTGTGGGTGAAGATAACAGCCAGGGGTTTTCTCATACTGCTGCTCTCAGAAGGTTGTGCTGGCACAGGTTTAATCAGTCAGACATCTTACCTCAAGGGTCAGGTGGGTGTTACTGGGTAGTATCTGCTTCAGAGATACATGGAAAGTACGTTTTCCCCACACAGCTTGGCTGCAAAGCTTTTGAGAATTTTCTTTCCTCTACAGTCTTCACCCTGAGGTCTTGTTGACTTTCCTTAATGACATGGAATGTGATGTGGGAAATTTCAGTTTTCAGCTGTGGCTGCTCCCAGGCTTTCCTCAGTCAGCTTTCTGGTGTTGTCTCCAGTGGTGACCCTTCTGCTTTGTTTGGGTTTTATCTTTCTCTGTGCTGTGCACACGCACAAAAGCTACTTAATGCTGCTGTATCATAATGCCACATAACATGCAGGGGAAATAGGACAAAAGAGGAACCTGCAGGAATGGGATATATTTAAATACTATGATAAGCTTGCCATCCTAGTTAAGTTTACTGCTTTTCTTTTTAATCTTGGATTTTCCTTGCATTTACTGAGCTTTCTGTTCTGTTTACAGTACTGTAATGGTGGTGACCTGGCAGACTATCTTCACAGTAAGTATAACAATATGGAGAATATCCTCTGTTGTCAGAAGAAAACAGACTGGTTTAGCTCATTAAAGTTGCTGGGGTTTGTGGAAGATCTAAGTAAGCAGATGGTGTATATTTCTTTCCAGTTCCTGCAAAATAAACAAAGTATCACCGCTCT